GAACTTTATTCGTTGGATTAAGAGGAGGCAATATAGTTCAAACATGCACATTGTCATCGGGACAAGTGACAACACCACCACCAACTAGTAAGACGAATATGGATCTGTCTAGCTGATACAGTCTTGTTCAAGACGATTATAAGTTTCTTTATGCAACGAGGACAGGAGTGTAAAGTATGAGAGTGAATGTGATAGACCAGCACGAAAAATGATTGCCTCCTTTGAGACGAGAGCCTATAGTACTTTGTTGATCGTACCCGGATAATCCTGTGGGTCACTTTCGCAATTACATCGACTTTTGTCGCATAAGCTGAAACCCTATCGAAATGCAAGATCTACAGATAGGATTAGCAACACTACCACAATAAATTGTTTGCAAGCATCGGCATCATAGAATGTTGACGTGTTTGTCTTTTTGGGTTTAGGTATCTCAGGGCTGCTTAATTTTCTATGAAAACCTTCGAATTTCTAAAACTGTCTCCATATATTTTCCGTACCTATTTCCCATACTCGTTCAACCTCCCCAAGAATTGTTTTTGTCAATTAGATTCAAATAAGGCCATTTTCCGTTAGATTCGTACTTGGATTTGGTCATGTTGGAATCCCCTTGGCAGAACTAATTTTGGTGTGCTACGATGTTCTAGTAGTATACATGATGTGCAGAAAAGCGAGAGTCCATAAGAATTCAGTTTTGTCAAAAAATGATGATGAAGTCAAGAAAAAGGCTACAATCACGCTCCATACTCGGATTACTGTGCTTCCATTCAAAATCTCTCTCGACTGACTTGTGCTCCATCAAGTGCGCAGTGGAAAGACCATTCTAATCGGCTATTTATGTTTATTTTTTCTTTTGTTTTGGCTCTTTTGTAGTAGCTCTTAAAAAGACTAAAACCGGTTGTGATGTTCGTTTTCTTGTTTAAGAGGAGTGTTAGTTGGTTGATTCCACGAGTACAGGAGTGTATACCAGAAGAGTGAATGTGAGAGACTGGCAATCACGTTGTTGCCCAATGGGATTCAAATAGTGACGGAGAGTTTTTTGGTGCGTTCGATGGAGATTTCCAAAAAGGTTGGATAGGTTACGGTCGGTCCGCCGATGCGGCAGTCGTGCGACAACACCGGAATCAGACTGGTAAATATTTTTGTCCTTTCCGTTTAGCTACACGAGCGCCACAAGTGACACAACCACGACCAGCTAGTAAGACAAATGTGAATCTTTCTAGCTGATACGGTCTTCTATCTTATGCGTTTGTTCTGTTGTTCAAGAGAAGTGTTAGTTTGTTTATTCCACGTGCACACGAGTGTAGAGTAGGAGAGTGAGTGTGAGGGACCAGCAATGACTTTTTTTGCCGAATGAAATTCAAATAATGACGGAGAATTTTTTGGTGCGTTCGATGGAGATTTCCCAAAAAGTTGGATAGGTTACGGTCGATCCGCCGATGCGGCAATCGTGCGACAACACCGGAATCAGACTGGTAAATATTTTTGTCTTTCCCGTTTAGCTACACGAGCTGCACAAGTGACACAACCACGACCAACTAGTAAGACAAATATGAATCTTTCTAGCTGATACAGTCTTCTGTCTTGACGTTCGTTCTATTGTTCAAGAGGAAAGTAAATTTTCTTTGTGGAACGAGGCCATTAGTATAGAGTATAAGAGTGAGTGGGAATGACCATCACGAAAATTGGTTTCCTGGATTGAGCCGAGAAGATTGTCGCGAGATATCTTACGTATCTATTTCACATGCGCGTTCAAAGTCCCCAATATTGTTTTTGCCCGATTAGATTCGAATAATACCTTAGAATTGTGTAGTGCGTTCGACAGAGATTTCCAAAGAAGCTGGATCGCTTTGGGTCGACCAGCCGTTGCGGTTGTCGTCCGAAAAAGCCTGTAAGAGACTCGTAAATTATTTACCTTTTCTATTTAGCGATACAACCGGCATAAGTGACACAACCATCACCAAGTAGTAAGTTGAATATGAAGCTTTGTGGCCAACACAGTCTTCTATCTTGACGTTCGTGTTTTTGTTTGGGAGGACTGTAAGTTTGTTTATGCAACGATCTTCAAAATCTTTCTCGACTTATGCTATCAAGTACGCGGTGGAAGTACCATTCTGATCGACTATTTAAGTTTTATTTTTTCTTTTGTTTTGGGCCTTTCGTAGTAGCTCTTAAAAGACTAAAACCAGTTTTGATGTTCGTTTTCTTGTTCAAGAGGAGTGTTAGTTTGTTTATTCCACGAGCACACGAGTGTAAAGTAGGAGAGTGAATATGAGAGACCAGCAATGACTTTCTTGCCCAATGAGATTCAAATAATGACGGAGAATTTTTTGGTGCGTTCGATGGAGATTTCCCAAAAAGTTGGATAGGTTACGGTCGATCCGCCGATGCGGCAATCGTGCGACAACACCGGAATCAGACTGGTAAATATTTTTGTCTTTTCCGTTTAGCTACACGAGCGGCACAAGTGACACAACCACGACCAACGAGTAAGACAAATATGAATCTTTCTAGCTGACACAGTCTTCTATCTTATACGTTCGTTCTGTTGTTCAAGAGAAGTGTTAGTTTGTTTATTCCACGAGCACACGAGTGTAGAGTAGGAGAGTGAGTGTGAGGGACCAGCAATGACTGTTTTTGCCGAGTGAGATACAAATAATGACTCTGAACTGTTTGGTGCGTTTGATAGAGATTGCAGAAAACGTCGGATTGGTGACGGGCGATCCGCAAATGCGCGGTAGTCGTGCGAAAAAACTGCAGTTAGACCGGTAAATTATCTGCCTTTTCCGTTTAGCTACACAACCGGCACAAGTGACACAACCGGCACAAGTGACACAACCGGCACAAGTGACACAACCGGCACGAGTGACACAACCGGCACGAGTGACACAACCGGCACAAATAACACTACCATCACCACTATGGGTGTCTACTGGAAGCATGACAACTCCACGTCAATTACCCACTTTAACCCTTCTCAACTCCAACAAAGTTATTGTCACGGGTGGTTACACTGGTGGTTCTAACAATGGATTCACTGCTACTTGTGAAATATTTGATCAATCAACGGGCCAATGGAGCCCTACTGCAAGCATGGCTAGGGCTGTAGCCGTTCACGTTGGTTTGGCAAAATTTTAAACGAGAACGGAAACGGTTTTGCCGTTGACGTTCTGAACTGTCAACGCCACTTCATCAGTTGACGTTCTGAACTGTCACGGTGTCGCATTAGTTGGCGTTCTGAACTGTCAACGCTACTTCATCAGTTGACGTTCTGAACTGTCAAGGTGTCGCATTAGTTGGCGTTCTGAACTGTCAACTGCATCTGGTCAGCCCTGCTCCAATCGGGCAAAGTTATTGTCACTGGTGGTGGACCATTGTCTCCTCCCGGACAACCGTCTGTTTGTACTGCTAGTTGTGAAATATATGATCCGTTAACAGGTCAATGGAGCCCTACTGCAAGCATGGCCACAACACGTGCTCAACATACTGCAACCCTGTTCAATTCGGGCAAAGTTATTGTCGCTGGTGGTAGAGTAACTGGCTATGATTTGGTTGGTAGTTCTGAAATATATGATCCGTTAACGAGTCAATGGAGCCCTACTGCAAGCATGATCACACCACGTTATCTATATGCTGCAACCCTGCTCAATACTGGCGATGTTCTTGCCGCTGGTGGTCAAACTGCGTCTGGTGTTACTGCTAATTGTGAAATATACTATCCATGAACTTTCTGTGCTTATTCGTTATTGTACATCTACGAGCAGAAAAGACGTGAAGTTCAATTTTTCTCTTTTTTCTTATATATCATTCATATATTACTTTTGCCATCATTTAGATCAGATGACTATATAAGAACACGTTTGTCCTTTCTATTCAGCTGGTGTAGAAGTGTCGTAGAGTTAACATCAATTTATGTTGTGTTAGTCTGTATCTGTATTTTTTTCCTTCATTTTATTAAATTGTTAAAACATATCCATGCATGAGGAGTGTAATCAAGGGAAGAACATTTAAGAGATGGGCCGCAAGAAAACCAACCTGCTACACCAAGATCGGCCGGAGACGAAATTTTTTTTTAAACTTTATTTATTGATGAAATAAATAGTTATGGCTAAGACAGGTCAAAAGAGAGCAGAGCCCCGTTATTATCGTGCTGTCTAGCCAATAAAAAATGAAAACGGTAAGAAGAAAAGTAACAGAGAAAGAAAGCAAATGAATAATAAAAATACATAATAAAGAACGGAAAGAAAAAAGACATAAAGGGAACAAAAAAAATGGCAGAAGAAAGGAACGAGAGGATCGAGTGTGCTAAGGGATACAGACCAAATTTTACATCTAAACCTTTTAGTTGAAAGGATATATATATTCAATAACACTTCGGTACACTATCAAATACTGTTCTTTTGAGAGATGAATTTTAAGTAAGAGCAGTTTACTACTTAGGGGTTGCGGGAAGTCCAAAGTTGAGAGTTTCTGTTCAAGATAATTTCGTTGTGCAACACACAATGTAGCAGATAATGATCAACACTTTCAATATCATCGCAGGTACAAAGGTTAGTGGAACTCAGTTTTTAGTATATAAGTTTGCATTTAGTGGTGGAAAGTTCACACGCAAACGGTTGAAAGAGATATCTGCTGTTCGATCAGTACCGTACGTTCGATAACGAAATATGTTAGTATCGTAACAGACTTTTAGTTCAGTCTTAAATTTCTGTTTTCGGAAGCGATTCAGTTTTACAGTAACGGGCAATGAATTTCACATAGAAGTTGTATAAGGGAAAAAAGATTTCTGTGCCCGTACAGACTTTAAGTGCAGCTGTTTTAACTCAGATCGACTGCGAAGCGGATATGGAATTGGATCGATTTTTTTAATATGTGCGCGCAAATATTCGGACGTATCGCCCGATAATATGTCGCCGAAAAGAATAAGTTTATTCATGTCAAACATTATTTTCGAATCAGGCCAGCTTAGTATATCTAAAACTTTTTCTCTACTTGATAAGTACATCGATCCAGAAACAAGCAGAGCTGTACGGTATTGAAGCTGGAAAAGCGGTTTCAATACTAGTTCTGGTTCACCTGAATAGATTACACTTGCATATATCAATAATGAATGTATAAATGATTTATATAATTGATCTAGAACCGACATTAAAAAGATGCACTTAAATTTGTTTACAGCTCCTAGAATTAAGTTACATTTATTGACGATAAAAGAAAAATGAGGAGAACCTCTGGCCAAAGTACTTATGTTCCTGAACCAAATCCAAGGTATAACCTAACAGTTTTCCTATGTTCAACTGGTGTGGATGACAAAGTGAGATGAGTACGACTAGACCCAATCCAATTATCCATTTGTGAAAAGATTTGACTCGACATCTGTGGCGGTACCGCCGACTCAGACGAAGATACAACAGCAGGACAGACAGAGACGTGTTGAGAGCAGATAGTTTTTACCACAACATCAT